TGATTAAAAAAATTACTCTTACTTTCTCTTCCAGTGGTCTAATAGTCCCTGAAGTACGTGGAAATGAAACTGTTCCTGAGGTAGTTACTACATCTGGCTATGCATTGCTACACTTTTTTAGTGATGCCGCTTATAACCTAACTGGATTTAACATTTTTTACTCGTAAGTATTTTTTAATAAGTAATTACTTCATTAATTACCCTATCATTTCTTTCAGGAGAATGACAAACCCAGGAGAAGTGTTTATCTGTTGATTTTATTAATACTGTTATACTTTGTGGTATGTTTCTAAAACCAGGGAGCTGGGGTTCTAATGACTTGTCATTAAGGTACTAATTTAAAAAAAAAAAAATAAAAGAAGAAAAAGAGATAAAGTATATTGTTCAGAGTGAAGCCACATGGCGGTTCCCAGAGTTTATTTTTCCTATGCCATATGGAACTAGAATGTATCCCTTCCGTTATTTATCTAACACATGTAGTTGTCATATGGAATAGAAGGGAGGCTATATCTGCTGTCATGTCAATTTCCTTCTCTTGAACTAGCATCATCTGTTGCTTGATTATTATTATTTTTTTTCCTCCTTGCTGAATGTAGTTTTAGGGCTTTTGACACCTTCACCACAGTCCTACTTTTAGTTTTGTGCTGCCACAAGAGTTTTACTCCAGTTCTTCTCTACTTCTCAGGTACTTTTGCCCCCTATTGTCTACCTCAGTCTGCCTTCATAGTTCTTATCTGCACTGTCCATCTTTCAGTTCCTCTGATGGCAAAGTCTAATCTGATATAACTATGCTTGCATTCCTTCAGTCTGCTTTTCTGTGTCAGCAGCTCTAAGATGCATCCAATGGACCTGAGCCTTTTTCTTATATGCACCACCTGTTGATTGCAACTTCCATCTCATTTGTGACATGCTTGCAACATGTAATGTGACGTCTCTTTGTACTATGTGCTTTAGTTTGAGAGGATTGCTTCGTCCTGTTGGACCTGTTTCTCCATGTGATAATCTTCCCATGATTGAAGATATTCTTGTTCCTTTCTTTCAATTCCTTCAGATTCTACAATATCAATTTTGGGGATGTGGTGGCCAGTATTGCACTTCAAATGTGGAAACGTGTAATATTTTTGTCATATTCTTTATTAATTTAAATTTACTATTTGTGGCTCTGACCATAGCTTTACTCCTGGCAGAGGTCTTTGTTAAATTGTCTATGGAAAGATTGTTTCTGTAATTTGCAGTGGTTTGTCTAACTCTTACCACATAATAAATAGCTATACAGAGTTTGGGAAACCTCACTAAATATGTTGTATTAGAAATGGCAGTCTAGAAGACTGGGTGGTTTTAGTTTTTGTTAGTTGACATCAGTAAAATGCAATCACCTGGCAGACCTCGCTGCTGTAATTAGATACATTTTGCAGTTATCTCTGAAGCTTTTATTGCACTTTTTTGTTTGCCTTGGGAGCAAATGGCAATATGAAGTGGCATTCTTAAGAAATGAGTGTATGTGTCCTTTCATGACTTGGCAATGTGGTCTATGCTACATATCATTACCTAATTTTTTGGAAGATTTAAAATAAATGAAAAAAACCTGCCAGTTCTTAATTCCATTACATATGACTCACAAATTTTTATGTACTCTGTTCTTCTCTTTCTTCTATTGCAAAGGATACTTTTCAAATAAGTTTGGTTTTTTTTTTTTTCAATGAACCAACAGTAACTCTTTTTATGATAAAAATACCACCTAAGATTACTTTTTATGGCTGCATTAACGTATTTTCTGTCACTAATCTGTTGCACTCTGCTTCTGTTACCCTCTTTCTTCCTCGGTAATCCCAAAGCAGTTTTTGACTTCGTCTTTGACTTCATCTTGATGGACCACTTGTATTCCTTTATTTTGGGAAAGAGAGAAGCTGTGACTGAAATCCCATGCCAGTTGCAAACAGCAATAGTTACCCCAGAACTCTGAGTAGATTTTGTGTTCCTCGGAGTCAGGCAAGCTGCTTCCAACTCTGTTGACCCAGTTTTTCTCATTCTGTTTGAATCCTTAACAAACCTGTTGGAGTGGGAATATGTCTACTCTTAAACTGGTATCTCTATTGCTGGAAAGACTTAAATGTTCACCATTCTGAAGAACATTCTCCCTGTGAAGTCAGGGGAAGAGTTTCCTCACAGCTGTGGTATACAGCAGTTGATGCCATCAGTGGTTTTAATGCCACATCTGTTACTTGGCAAAACCCCCGGACATTTGCAGTTCAGACATAAAATTTTCTTTTTTGGTACTGTAACAGAATCGGTCCTTTTGAGGGGTGAGTCTTTAGAAAATGAAAACACATCTCCTGACTGTCCTGCCACAACTACATTTGGCCAAAGGCCAGCCGTGAACAATTCTTCACTTTTTCGGTTAGTTCTTCTTTGGTAAGAGCAAGGAAGGCTATGAGCGGTATCCAGCTCTCGCATCTACAGGGAGCAGTCTATGATATCATCAAGGGTTTGTAGTAACAGTTTATTCTGAGTTTCAACCCAACCCTTTTCTACGAGTCATGAAAAACATTTCAAATCCTTTTTGGACTTCCATCAGGCTCATACTGCCTGAGACTCTGTTCATGGAAGCTCTGGACCCACATTCTTCAATGTTCTCCATCCCTCCTCATCTCCAAGGAATTGCCTGTATTTCTGGAACCAGTTTGCATAATTTTGCAGGCCAGTTGCCTGTGATCTCAGTGTTTGGTAGGGTGTATCGCAGGCATGCTAACTCCCATAACTAGGACTTTCAGCCTAGTCTTTCCTCATTTTTCATCTCTGACTGTGGAGTTAAGGAAGCAAGGTTAAGGTGGCTCTATTATTAAAGGATTCAAAGCATGAAATGCTACCTGTAAGTAACTTCCAGGTATTAGCCATCTTATATTTTTCCTCACTTGGTTTTTCCAATTTTACTCCCCTCATGTGTTAGACATACTGTTTTATAGCACAGATCAAAGCCACTCAGGAAAACCCTTTAACTGTGTGCCTGCGGTGGAGAGTTTTTAAGGGATACTGCTCACAGTCACTTCCAGTGCGGATAGAAATAATAAGCATTTGAAAGGGACTGATTAGAGTGCTGCTACTGGAACACAGGGAAAAATAGATGGTGATTTGTCCAGGTGGGGCCTATCCTTCTGCTTAATGTCAATACTTGAGTGCATCACAGACTTCGTACATAAGCCTGGATGAACACCTTTTCAGCTCACTTGCCCGTAAAATTATCATTAAATTTGGTTTTTATCAGTACATAGAAATTTTTCAGGAAAAAAAGTACTTTGTCTAACAAATACTGTTGCAATACTGTCAGATAAAACCACTGTCGTCAACTCTTGGCTTGTAATTTTCCTTGGTTTACATATTTTTTTTCAGAATTAATTCTTGTCCTAACAACTGCTCAGAACATGGGAAGTGCACAACCAGCATGTCTGTACCAAGCCGGGTATACTGTGAGTGTGACAAGTATTGGAAAGGAGAAGCCTGTGATATTCCGTACTGTAAAGCCAACTGTGGCAGTCCGGATCACGGGTACTGTGATTTGACAGGCGAGAAGCTGTGTGTTTGCAATGACAGCTGGCAAGGTAAGGTTTTATTATTTGGAATCAAGTTAATCTTTAAAAAAGAACTGCTTTTAATGCATCCTATCTAGTATGCAAATTAGCATCTTTAAAAAATAAGCATAAATGAAAACATTTCTGGAGTAAATTTTCCTGTGGACCTAGATGTATGTACTTTAATACCATAAAAGACTGACAGCTTTGATATATTCTGTCTGAAGATACTGTGGAAATATGTGACCTAAACTTTCTTGTCGTAGGCACCCTTCTTTTTGGATCATTAATTTGAAAAAATAATGGCAGTATTTATGCAAGAGTTGTGAGCACTTCTGAAGCCTAAGTTCCTCCGTAGCCTAATTTCCTATTCTATTAATTTTTTTAATGTCTGAATAGATTTGATTTTCTTTCCCCCTTTCTTAATGTCATATCACCATGTCATATGTTCATGGAACAGATCATCCTCAGTGCTGTTACATGGCACATGCAGGAGAACAGGGTGATCGGGCCCAGTCAGCATGGGTTTATGAAAGGCAGGTCATGCCTGACCAACCTGATCTCCTTCTATGATAAGGTGACCCACTTAGTGGATGAGGGAAAAGCTGTGGATGTTATCTACCTGGATTTCTGCAAGGCTTTTGACACCGTTTCCCACAGCATTCTCCTAGAGAAACTGGCTGCTTGTGGCCTGGTCTGGTATACTCTTCGCTGGGTAAAAAGCTGGCTGGATGGCCGTGCCCAGAGAGTGGTGGTAAATGGAGTTAAATCCAGTCGGTGTCCAGTCACAAGTGGTGTCCTACAGGGCTCGGTGCTGGGGCCAGTTCTCTTAACTATCTTTAATGATCTGGATGAGGGGATCAAATGCACCCTCAGTAAGGTCGCAGATGACACTAAGCTAGGCGGGTGTGTTGATCTGCTTGAGAGTAGGAAGGCTCTGCAGAGGGATCTGGACAGGCTGGACTGATGGGCCAAGCCAATGGTATGAGGTTCAACAAGGCCAAGTGCTGGGACCTGCACGTGGGTCACTACAACCCCATAACGGCATCCTAGCCTGTATCAGGAATAGTGTGGTGAGCAGGACTAGGGAAGTGATCATCGCCCTGTACTCGGCACTGGTGAGGCCCCACCTCGAGTGCTGTGTTCAGTTTTGGGCCCCTCACTACAAGAAGGACATTGAGGTGTTGGGGCGTGTCCAGAGAAGGGCTACAAAGCTGGTGAGGGGTCTAGAGGACAAGCCTTATGAGGAATGACTGAGGGAACTGGGGTTGTTTAGCCTGGAGAGGATGAGTCTGAGGGGAGACCTTACACCCTCTACAACTACCTGAAAGGAGGTTGCAGAGAGGTGGGGGCTGAGCTCTTCTCCCTGGTGACAAGTGATAGGACGAGAGGAAATGGATTCAAGTTATGTCAGGGGAGGTTTAGATTGGGTATTAGGAAACATTTTTTCACTTAAAGAGTTATTAAACATTGGAACAGGCTGCCCAGGGAGGTGGTGGATTTGCCATCCCTGGAGGTATTTAAAAAATAATAAAAAAAAAAGGTAGATGTGGTACTTAATGACATGGTTTAGAGGTGGTTTTGTCAGGGTAGGTTGATGGTTGGACTTGATGATCTTAAAGGTCCCTTCCAACCTTAGCAATTCTATGATTCTATATTTTTAGTGCTTCATGAAGTAAGTATTCACTGTCTGTTTTTTAGTGGTGTATTATTTGTATAGCAGTGGAAAAGGAAGGTAAGCTGGTTTTTTACGATGTTTCAAGAGTGTGTGTATGTGAACATGTACTGTGCACTTATGGATATACTGCAAGCATGTGCTATAGTTTTACTCCCAGTACCATAAATTTTTTCTTATTAAAGGTTAATTATTTAGGATCCTAAATGTTTAACTTGCTTCCTATAGTTATGGTAGAGCTTTGTGATTTTCTTCTTTTTATCCTTTATCACTCCTGTTAGAAGTCTCAATTGCATTAGCTTGCTACGCATGGAAATTACCATTCTTCTTTTAAAATAAATATTAAAATACTTCCAGATTATTTAACTGATATGCCTTCTTTCTATTACTTCCTGTCCCTACTTTTCTTTTATTGCTGTTTTTTTTTTGCATGTCAAAGGAAATGACTTTTTTTACTTCTATTAGCTGTCACACCTGTTAGACACCATGAGATTTAATACTTTTCTCTTAATAATTAATGAAGTTTTTCATTAAAAGGCAGTCGGTGCACCTGCAGAAAGGAAGTGAGTTAGCAATATGGTCATTGAATGGAAACAGTGTAGACTTCTTACTGAGTCCTCCAGAACCTTTCATGACTGCAGTGCATAAAAAAAGACCCTGAAAGCGTAATCTCTGTAAGGGAGTTGTGAGCTTGCAGCAAGAACCTTACCGCCCTTATATTTCTGCATTGATTCAAAGCATTTTCAGATTGCTGTGTACAAAATTGGGAAACTGCCCGAATCTTTGGAACAGCTTTTTAGGCTACACCTTCATTTACAGTGCTATAACAATCTTCAACAGAAATTTTAAGCGTGAAAGAAATTAAAATTCTAACTTTCACTGTTAGTACCTTCTTTTCATCTAGCATTTCTGTGCATACTAGATTCCTATTCTTTCCTACAGTGAGTACGACTGTACAAAGGTAATCTGCTTAACTGTTACTTGTGTTTTCACCAAACCTGCATAGTTTTTCAATTTTTTTTTTTTTTTTTGATTCTGTGTTAAATGAGCTAGCTTGGATAAAAAATTGTTTTTCCTTATTAAATATAAGGTAATACCAAACTTTCCTTAAGCTGTCTGGATGACTCCTTGCTTCTATTCTATTAATATCTAAATGGTTTCTAAACTTGACAGTATCTTCTATGATGGTTAATTGTAATGTGGGAACCATAAATGTTTCTATTTCTCTCACTACTCTTGTTGTCTGTCAGGTTTTTCTGGTGTTTGGTAATTCAAAATGACTGGTTAAAGTAGGGTCTTGATTTTTATTTTTTTTTAAATAGAATTTTATGTTTTGTTGGGTCGTCCCCCATCCTGCCCTGCCCCCCTCCCCCTGTCCCCCCTCCTTTTTTTTTTTTTAATATGCTTAGTCCCTATATGAAAAAAAGATAATCGCTGGAATGTGTTAATTGAAATGTACAATAGAAAAATCCATGATTCAGAAAATAAAAAGAGTATTTCATATTTTATGACACACAGAGTCTCTTTTTTTACAATGGTGACATCTTGTGGGTGCTTTTGAAAGAGCAGCTGAAGAAAATTGACATTTAAAACAAGTACTCTGAGAAAAGAGAACACAGTATTCTTTTGATAGAATAATTGTTTTGAGTAAAAGGTAGGGTCCTCTCATTATTATATACAATATATTTTGTAGAAGAAAGATATTGTAGATATTTTCAGTTAGCCGCTAGTTTTACAAAAACAGAATGATGCCATGACAATGAAAGCTTTTAGGCTTAGAAAGAAAATAATTTTTTTTTTTTGTATTTTTAACAAAAAGTGTTTTTTTTTTATTGTACAAGAGGTGGTTGGCCTCAGAAATATGTACGGGAAGAAAAATTAATATTTCCTTGAAATCTGGTTAATTTAAAATATTCAGGCAACATAAAGGAGGCCATGTTTTTTCCTGAATTGTGCTTCCTTTTATGACTACTAAATCACTGAATGGTAGGGATTGGAAGGGACCTTCAGAGATGATCTAGTCTGACCTCCCCTGCCAAAGCCGGTCCACCTAGAGCAGGTTGGACAGTAACACGTTCAGGTGGGTTTTGAGTATCTCCAGAGCAGGAGACTCCACCACCTCGCTGGGCAGCCTGTTCCAGTGCTCTGCCACCCTCAAAGTAAAGAAGTTTTTCCTCATGTTGAGATGGAATTTCCTGTGTTCCAGTTTGTGCCCGTTGCCCCTTGTCCTGTCACTGGGCACCACTGAAAAGAGTCTGGCATCCTCTTGACACCCGCTCTTTAGATATTGATTAGCATTGATGAGATCCTCTCTCAGTCTTCTTTTCTTCAGACTAAACAGACTCAGGTCTCAGCCTTTCCTTATAAGAGAGATGCTCCAGTCCTCTGATCATGTTTGTAGCCCTCTGCTGGACTCTCTCCAGTAGTTCCTTTTCTTTCTTGAACTGTGGAGCCCAGAACTGAAAAATCATATTACACTGTCCCATTACTGGCTAATCTGTCACAACTTTCTGAAGCAGAATGTGTCAATGCCTGCTAATACAGGCTGTGGATGTAGGTTGGGCAGAAAAAAGATGTCTTAAAACTACCAACTTGCTCTTTTCCTTTGCTAGGCATGGCTAAGAAAGAAATGGGGACTTGGATGAGACAAAAGTGGTGGCTCTTGCACTATTTCACCTGTTTAAGAAATAGAAAAGATAATTTATAGAAAGATGTTTACAGCCAGAAACTTCTCTTTAATCCAAGGAAGACTGTGTCTTGGATTGTCTCAAGCTGTAAATGAACAGAGAAGACTTTAAAACAGTTTATTTCTGTAATGAGTTTGAAAATTCAGGATGATTTGAAGGATTGCAAACCGTTCCACGTTTTTAAAAGGGTTAAGTGGACTATCTTTGGAAATGCTTTGTCTAGATTTTACTTTTCAGTTTTTCTTCTGGCCAAGAATCAATTCAATCAGAAGAAACTGCAGTTTTACAGTCTGGGAGATATGCTGTTAAATATTTTTGTATTAATACTATGTATGCACATAAAAACACACACCCAAGGAATCCTTTCCTTCCCCAATTTTAGGTTAAAATCCAGTTTCTGCACTCTGTATTTGCAAATTTCATTATGTGTATCATAGAAATGAGAGTACTTTAAGGAAATTTTGCATATACAGAATTCATAGGAGGGAATTGTCTAAACATGAATGGATATTGCATATATACTGGAAACATTCTTCAGTTTTATCATCAAATTGAATTTAATAATTTGTCAAGCATCCTTGAATGATGTGCACTTTGTAAACAAAATATAGCTATCATAATTAGAAATCTAGTGCCTGAAAATTCTATGTGAGAAAATTAAGTATCCT